TGTAAACATCTATATTTCTAAAGTGAAAGATGGTTCCATCGCTTTGCGTCAATGGTTGTGGTTTCTATGCTTCTTCTATAAACAACAACCTCTGTTCAAAGTGTTACAATGATTATCTCAAAGAAAATATTGAGAAATCAAATGATCATGAAAGCTGTGATTTTGAATCAACGTCGTCTTTTTCTTCAATGACCTTTAATATTGATAGTATTTGTGAGGTTATCGACAATCAAAACATCAAGACAAAGAAAAATAAATGCAAGAGTTGCAACAAAAAAGTGAGTCTATTAGGATTTAATTGTCATTGTGAAAATGTGTTTTCTAAAATACATAGATATCCCGAAGAACATGCATGCAAGGTAGATTTAAAAAAGATTGGTCGTCAAATATTAGATAAACAAAATCTTTTATGTGTGAGTGATAAGTTAGGACATCGAATTTAGATAGGATATTCGGTTAATAGAAGATATTATTTTTAATTTTAGTTTTTTATAATCAAGATTGTAAATTTATTATTCTTTATAAATATATATTTTTTATTATTATTATTTCTTCACTGTTTTTTAACTATCACATATTGATATTTATAAAATTTTTTATTAATGATTGTACTGGAATGATTTTGCTGGCATGAGCGTGGGAATAATTTTTTAAGATTGATATTTAACCCAAACTTAATTTTTTTTTATAAATGTCTCAACTTTAAGATTGGAGATGGATTTTTTTACCACTCTACATGAACAAGTCATAAAACTGTCAAATTATTCCAAATATTTTTATAAATAGGAAAAATATATTATTGATGCCAATATTTTAAAAATGGAAAAGAAAAATATTGTTGATATATCGGAAGCTAATTCGCGTGTAGGCTGCGCTGTCTGTCGTACCGTTGACTCGTACCGTTGACTCTATCTATTCATTGAATTTACTTTCATTCATTTTTTTGATAGGCTTGCTCCCTCTTTTTCCAAGAATTAATGCACTTCCCCTGGACTTCAGAGGGCCTTCTCTAATAGGGGAAAAGCCTTCCATTTCCGTCAAATGGCCCGGCCCCCTGGCTCTTCCACCGTCCTGGCTCCCTTTCCTACCTATGCTATGCTCCCCCGGCACAGGCCTACCACGCTTCGCGCCTGCGGGTTTTTATAAATAGATATATCTCTATTGTTGAAAAAAATATTTTTCAAAAATAAAGAAATTTAAATTTATAATTTTATAAATATCTTCTATCTAAAATATAATTTTCTAATTAAAATATTTAATATGACTAACGAGATATCGCGACACTCAATACATATATTAGACCGTACTCGTTCAATAGGACAAATATTTTACTATTTTTTTTAATAACTTCTAATGTCTCACTCATTTAACAATAAAAAAAAATTCAGCAATGATTGGAAACCTAGCAAATAACAGTTACAAATAAAATTATTTTAGATCATTCAAACTGTGTTTTTATCAAACACTTTCTAAATTAAAAGTTTAGTTTCGAGAGTTTAATATCAAAAAAGAATTAAAAACATAAATAATCATTAACTCAACAAAACAAAAATAATATAAAACTAGTCATATCAAGAATTTAGTTAAGATTATGATATACAGAAATTAATAATTTTTTAAAAAAATAACTATATTTTTTATTTAAGACATTTATGTCATAAAACAAATATTTATGATAAAAAAATGCACTAATAGTGTAAAATATTTTACACTGTCAACTAATCACAACCATGTATCAGAATAAAACATATTTTTTTTTTTAAAATACTGATATTACATGACAATTGTAGACATTTTAATTGGTTGCATGTGTGAAGCTGTCTTACACGGACAATGCACTACCTTTACATCCAATTTTTATCAAACTATTAAATAACCATTATTGGACAAAAGGGTGATGCACTGACCGTGTAAATTTTTTTTACACTGTCAACCAATAACGATCATACATTCTATCAAATCATCTGAAAATTTTAAACTAATTATATAATACGACAAAATGATATATTTCTATTGGAGGACAGTGTAAAATATTTTCACACTTGATGTATAACAATTAAACTCAATTTTCTCTGCTTTTATCTTTTTTTAATAATTCAAATAAAATATTAAAAAAAAAAAGTAGAGACTAAGTCCGGGTTATTTTCTTCAAAACCTAGAAATTATTTTTAATTTTTTAAGAGACAAAATTAGATCTTGCATTTTTTTGGGAAAATTAAATCTACACTTTTTTATTCTTTATTTAATATAAAATAAGAGAATTATATCTTAAATATAAATTTTGATCCAATCAGTATTCAATTTGATTCAGTCCTAATTAAATTTCAAACAAAATTTTATCTTGATGCAAGTAAAGATTATATTAATAATTAAAATTAGATAACTATCACTTTCCTAATTTTTTTGGCAGATAGTTTCCTAAAATATAGTATTATTAGTTATATGATTAATACGATTAACATGATATTCCTGCTAGCACAAATATTTTACTAATTTTTTTAATAAACTTCTAATGTCTCACTCATTTAACAATTAAAAAAAATTCAGCAATGGTATTATTTTTAGCAAATAACATTTACGAATAAAAGTATTTTAGATCATTCAAACTGTGTTTTTATCAAGCATTTCTGATCACACTAAAATTCACCGTATTTCTGACTCCGATTTCGCATGCATTCTTAGCTTTTATTGTTGTTTTGCTTTGTTATTGCTTTGTTTTCTTATGTTTTCAGGTTTTTATAATAATCGGAGCTTGAATCGGGAAAAGGAGCGAAAAAGGAGTGAAAACGGACGAAAACCTAGAAATTCAGCATTTTGCACTTGCGGCACCCACTGTGGCGGGCGCCATGGAGTTAGCCATGACGTGGCCACGTCTCAAGACCACTCCTCAACCTCCAAGACCCACGATCCCCACTCCATCATCCCCTGTAGGGACCGTGGCGGGCGCCATAGGCCCTGTGGCGGGCGCCACAAGGCAAAAATCCATAACCTCCACTTTTTAGTGGAGGGGCGTCCCGGTCATTTCGCGCTTTCAGTTTCTCCTATAAATAGGACCTTAGATTTTCGTTTTTCTTCATCCAGAATTAGAATTCTCTAGGCATATATCAGCTATAAAGCAGTTGCCATTCCACATCGGGGTGCCTCTGCAATCGAGTGATCGAGTCTGTAATCTGTCTGTGGTTCGAGTTTTGGAGCACTCTGGAGGAAGTTAATCCTACCGCCATTTTAATTCCAGTTAGTATTTTATTTTTCCGCATTGCTTTACTTTTATTTACTTTCTCGCACTTTACTTTGTTTATTTCCCGCACTCGCACATTTACTTTGTTTATTTCCCGCACTCGCACATTTACTTTGTTTACTTCCCGCACTCGCACATTTACTTTGTTTACTTCCCGCACTCGCTTTAAATTACTCATATGAAAAACTATAAAAAGAATATTTACTTTATCATGTCTAACTAATCCCATAAAGGTTAGAATGTAAGGATCGTAATTAAGCCAGTAATCAGTATAATTGTTCGTGGAAACACCTAAGGGCTATTTTATCTTTCAATTCAAGTAATTGTTTTTAACTATTTCAAAAACAGCCAAAAGCGCTTTGTATAGTTCATTAGGAGTTTTTAGATTAAAAAGAAAAGAGATTTTAAAACGATTTTCGGACGCGTTATGAGATTTAGAGTCTGGTTCATAAGAACCTCTTTTTGCTAAGAAGTCCAGGTTAAAATACTTTTCAACTTTGTTAAGAAACTATATTTCTTAAAAATAGGTTTACTACTCTAACGCAGTACGCACCTTTTTATCCGTGACAATAGGAGGGGTTGATTAGAGAGTACAACTCGGTTCTGAATACGCGAAAGCGACAGTTCCTGTTAAATTAGTTCTTTTCAAAGGAGAAAACATTGCCCATAAGTAGTTCCATTAACAAGTACTGGATTATCATTGATTACGTGAATTACATTCGAGCCTGTCTTTTATTTATTATTTAAAATTATAATTTTATTTACCATTGCACCCTTACTAAAACCCTTAAAAATAGTTGCCTTAGATAAACACCATAACAACAGGTACGATAGATTGACACTTGGTCTCTGTGGATTCGATAATCTTTTATATTACTTTGACGTGATTCGTACACTTGCGAAAAACACGCATCAAGTTTTTTGGCGCCGTTGCCGGGGACCAATATCGTCAAATTTCATTACCCTGTAGTTATACCGTTTAGACTAAGGTTGTTACCCACCGGTCAATGCGAAAGACTCGCAGTGCCGGAAGTTTAGTAGACCCTCTAGCTGAACCTGAACGTTACGCTCGCGCACGTTTATTTTTCCATAGGAATAGGAGAGCTATGGCCGAAGATCAAAATCGAAGACCTCTTAAGGACTTCGCCCAACCATCAAACGAGGAACCTAGTTCCAGTATAGTAAACCCCGCTATCCCAGCCAATAATTTTGAACTTAAGCCATCCCTGCTGCAATTAGTGCAACAGAGACAATTCGCAGGTCTCGCTACTGATAATCCGAACCAACATTTAAAAAACTTTCTTCAATTAGCAGACACCTTTAAAACCAATGGAGCTTCTCCTGAGGCAATACGCTTAAGATTATTTCCCTTTTCCCTCAGAGATAAAGCTCTATCATGGTTAGATTCCCTTCCACCCAATTCAATAACAACTTGGGATGACCTTAGAAAAGTTTTCCTTGCTAGATATTTTCCCCCAAGTAAGACCGCTCTTCTTCGAAACCTAATAACTAGATTTACCCAACACCAAGGAGAGTCGTTGTTCGAAGCCTGGGAGAGATATAAAGAACTATTAAGAGCATGCCCACACCATGGCCTAGAGAATTGGCTAATCATCCAAACCTTCTATAATGGACTTCTTTATAACACTAAAATGACCATCGACGCTGCCGCTGGTGGCGCACTGATGAACAAACCTTACCCTGAAGCTAGTGCCCTTATCGAGGATATGGCCCAAAACCATCAATCATGGGGGGTAGAACGAGCGACAGTGGAAAAGAAGGAAGCCCAAGGAGGAATACATGAGCTAAGCTCTATAGACATGATGCAGGCTAAAATGGACGCGTTGGCCCTTAGAGTCGAACATATGTGTACAACTCCGAATACTGTTGCCGCAGTTTCGCCGAATTGTGAGATATGTGGAACGCAAGGACACCAATCCGCCGAATGCAATCTGTTGAATGAAACCAACACTGAGCAAGTGAACTATACCCAAGGGAACCCATTTTCAAACACATATAACCCTGGATGGAGGAATCACCCAAACTTCTCCTACAAAAATAATAACCCTATCCAAAATACCGCACCTCCGAGACAACAAGGTTACCAAGCCCCTAGAACAAATCAACCTATGCAACCTGTACCACCTAGCCCGAGCTTTGAGGAAGTTGTAAAAGATTTTATCGTTGCTCAAAAACAACAAAACA